AACAGGCCTGTACTGTTATCAGCTCACCTGACACACCAGAACCATCACAGCCATCTGGGAAGTTTTCTTTAGAAACTGTTTAGAAAATGACAAACACTTTCAAAGAAATGCCTTCTTGGAGTCCGCCACGTTGAACCGCTTCAGTAGCCGAGAACAGACAAACACTTGCTCTAGATGGGGCCTTTTGTAAGATTCTCCACCACACTAGTTCCTCCTACACACCTCACAGCCCGTTCTCATTCCCAGGTCGTCAAATACAGATGTGAGCAGTGTTCAGTTAGTTGGAATCTGCAACTTCCGCTGTTGTTGTTTAATGAACAGTGTCTTCTCACTGCGTCACACCCAGCATTAAACCCACTGCCAGTAGTTCCTCACAGGTTGCTCATTTCATGGATCATACAGTGTGTCAGTTAATAATCAGGAGCTAAATAATGCAGGTTCGGGTTTAATTACCACACTTTCAGATGCACATTGTGGAGGTCGAAGAGAGGAAGTTTGGGCAAAAATAACATTACCAAAGTCTGTGGCCTAACTAATTACACAGTCTACCTTCATCTGTGGGAGGGGGCGATTGCCGACTGTGATTTACTCAAACATCCGTCCACTGTCAGTGAAAAGGTGTTTAGTTCAACTCTGTCGGCGGCATCGTCAGACAGCACAACACATAAATCAGCTGGCACACTAACAGAGCTCCAGATGGAGATTTTTTTTTTTTGCCTTACTGGCTATGGAGACGGTAACTTTCTCAGTTTCTCAGTTCCTTAACATCACACTTTCTATTTGGTCAGAGTGGTAACGTGTTTCCTTGTATTGTTTGTCCGCAGCTACTGCTTCTCTGAGATGTCTCCAGTGTGCGCTGTCGTGGGGGGAGTTCTGGGACAGGAAGTTGTCAAGGTAAGGATGTAAACATTAGGAAACACTCTGTTCATGTTATCGACCGTGATGCATCTTACAATACTCACTCTGCTGTAGTAAATGATGAAGTGTGGCGTGTGTGTGTGAGAGTCAGTCAGCTGACAGGTGGCCACTCAGCTGGTTTCTGGATCAGCTTCAGAAAAACGGCAGCGACTCTTCTGTGTGCAGAAGTGATTTCACTGTGACCACAGTGAAACCCAGTGTGACGCTCTGGCAGCAGACTCTCAGAAAGATATGATTTTAAACTGTCCTCCAGCTGAACAACATAATAAACACATTGATAATGCAACACAAAGGAACATAATGGGACCACTGGTAGGAAATCTAATGGAAAACATATGACTGAACACTGGAGACACACACACACACAGATTATAGTTGAAGTCTGACTGTTAGTGATATTATCTATATTATTAGGGTTGAGACAAAGCTGTGTAGTGTGGAAGAATGTTTTACAGTTGAGTAATAAACTATTAAAGATCACAAAACAGCTGGCTGACAAGTATAAGTAAATGTATAGATATATAAATAAATATATGTATATGAACAGTATAAATGGAAACACATCACAAGGTCACTAATAATGTTTGTATCTTTATATGCCCGACACACAGACAGCTCAGTGTCGTCTTTATCTCCTCGGGCGAATCAGTACAGTTTTTTTTTTTAAATGCCAAAACTGTCTAAGGAAAGATAAATCTTATCAAAGTGATGATAATCCAGTCACTGATGTACAGATCAATCATCCATTCCTTGGTTTCTACGTGGTTTCACCATAAATGTTTGCATTGACAAGCTCTTCAGTAACAAATACGTCTTAAAATGCGTCTTATTTTACCACAAAATGTGTCTGATTGAATTTGGTGACTTTGTTTTTGTTTAAATTCTGCAGAAATTACATTATTATTATTATTATTATTATTATTATTATTATTATATTATTATTAATTATTATTATTATTTTTACTATATTGAAATATAATTATTAGAAAAAATCCTTAAATTAGATTTTAAAAACCAGCCTTGATGTGTAAGTTCATTAATTTCCTCTGATGGGACGGAGTGAGATAAGATAAGATGCTCCTTTATTGATCCCCGCGTAGGGGAAATTCAAAGAATATGGTAACTAAGGTCTTTTATAGTCATTAAGATTCATCACACAGATAAAAACACTAATAATATTTAATGCACAAAGTCTAACACGCAAATATAGAGAACTTTTCCAAGTGCATGACCTGAATAAGCTTTCACCTTACAGCCTCAGTAGATTTCCTTTTTCTTCTGAGTTGTGTGCAAGTTGACCTGCGGCTGAGGTAAACGGGAGTTCAGGTCAGGGTAAGAGAGAGAAGAGAGAGAAAGAGAGTGTGTGTCTGTGTGTGTCTGTGTGTGTCTGTGTGTGTCTGTGTGTGTCTGTGTGTGTCGTTGTGTGTCTGTGTGTGTCTGTGTGTGTCTGTGTGTGTGTGTGTGTGTGGGGGGGTGTGGAGGGACAGTTCAGACTCAGACGGCATTATATTGGCACAAGGCCAAGCTGCAGACTCTATGATGATGAAACTCGCTGTAACTGGTCGACTGATGTCTCGCCGGTTGAATCTGACTGACTTCACTCACAGAGAAAATTAAACTCACCTTATGGACTGAACCACTGACAACTGAAGTGTGACAGACATGTTTGTCTGGGTCTGTGAGCTCTTAATAAACTGGCATTAAAATGGTTCTTTCTGCTCCTACTGGGAAGTACATTGAACTTTCTTGGAGTCACCTTTTAAGAATTTCCCCTTTCTGACTGGTTACTTGAACATATATGAACTTAAAGAGGTTTAACTTTTGTATTATTACACGCTGTTGAGTGTAACTTCCCTGTGTCTTTCCCCTTCAGGCTCTCTCTCAAAGAGACGCTCCACACCGGAACTTTTTCTTCTTTGACGGTCGCAAAGGCAACGGCGTCGTCGACTACTTTGGATCAAAGTAAACGCGTCACGCCGGCGCTCAGGAAAGTTTTACACACACATACAAGCCCAGCAAACGTATGTCTTTTCATTCGTTTGTTCCGTCAGATTATTTATATCAGTAAATTGCTCCAGTAGTCATAAAATGTATCTGTTGTTTCATATTTGGCATTTGATCTCAAGTTTACTGTGGGATTTCTGTTTTTTACATTTCCTAATAAAACATTGTTTAGTAAAAATGATTCTGCCTCATGTCTCTTGATTTATTAAACAGAACAATCATATTGTTGTTTTTTTGTCTATTCAATATCTGCCATTTATGCCATAATTATTACACTGCACTCATGTGCTGCTGGGAACATTTTAATGCATCAGTGTGCTGTTTTCTCTGAAAATCAACCCTGAAAGACAAATATAAGTCAAAATCATCAGAATGAAATACTTAAATACAGTAAAGAAGTTGACAGCAAAGGTCTTTGTGTCTTCATGCTGGATCACAAGGATATCAGCCATGATGTATGGTGGCCTGATTTCAATATCCTGTATATTAAATTAAACAAAGAGTAAATGTAACAGCAGTGCTGGAAATATTTGGGTTTAAGTAATAAAGTCAAACATAATCTCAGCTGTAATATAAGAAATCAGTGTGGTGTACTGTACGTTGGCATCTGAAAGGGGAAGACAGCAGATAGTCATGTGATGTTCAGTGTATGACTGTATTTGGTAACAACCTCTCACCGCCTGGCATGTGACTCATCAGACCTAACATGGCTGTATGGTGTGTGAGTGACGGTGCAGCAGCATAGGAAAGGGCGGGGGCAGGTTATTCAAATGAGGCTCAGGACAAACTCAAAGCATTTCCTATCTTCTTCCTCCCAAATAAGGCAACAACCGAACATTACAGGGGGGAAAAGCAGCAGTGTGACCTTGTCTCTGACCTCAGCCCCTGGAAGATGCATGTGGTTGAACCTGTTTAACCCGTCAGACCTGTAAGACCCTGAGCTGCAGAGATGGAAAATAAACATTTATTTTGATGCAGTTTAACTGTGCTGACTGCAGCAACAGCAGATACTCAGTGAAGGTGCTGATTCATTCTGCTGTTTACTTTAAAGTACACTGAATGTTCACAGCTGACAGAATAGTTTCAGTATCGTACATATATCTTATCCAAATTTTAATCAGTAAGTGTCTTCAGCTTCATTTTTACATAAATTAAACATACAAGAAACAGAAAAATGACGAGTAAGCAACATAATAGGACAGGGAAATGTACAAGAGGGGGAAGTATTACAGGTTCTTGCAGCTCCTTATTCAGATACACTTGAATTTATGTGGTGAGCTTTGACTCATTTCACACATTTCTAGCATTGAAGCTTTTAGTAGCAGACAGTTACTTCATCAATATGTCCAACAGGAAGTTTATCTGGTGGCATCCCTTGACTAAAGAGTTCTTTGAGAACACACAGAACACAATTTGGATATGAAATCTTTCTTTTGTATCTCAAAATATTTGTGATTTGGACTCTTAGATGAGTTACAGATTCTCCCAGTCGACTGATTCCTCTCTGACTACCAGGTCTCATTCCAACCTTTTAAATATGAAGTTCAGTGTAGTTTGTTGTGTGAAGCCAAGAGTACATATATACCACTAAGCCAGAACAACAAACTGATGCACGGTGTGTTCTGACATCTTTCTATCA